CTTGGAGTTCCAGATTCTCCGGATCCTCCAGACCTCTGGACACCTGACTCTGCAAAGAAGTGGAACCCAGGAAATATCATTGCTTTTGATCAGAATTATCGTCATACATCATCTGATGAACCTTCTGTCCACCTTGTGATTTTAAGCCCTAAAGATCCAGCCTATTGGACATATAAAGACTATCGTGATCACAAGAATGAAAAGAATAAAAACAATCAAAAAGAAGTTTTTACATATATAGTCGGCATTGACTCTTTCTCACCTGATAGGGATCTGATGAACAAGGAGGTGAAGCTGAGTGTTTTCACACATGGTGCCAGAGACGTTCAGCCTTTCCCACACAATTCAGAACAGTTTGGTGTGAAGTTCAGTATTTATTACTATTCACCACAAGAGCTTGCTAGTCTCATAAAAACTTTTGTTCAGCAAGTGGGTTTCATACCTGATGAGCAGATGCGATTATTTGCTTGTGATGCAGGATCACAAGCTGCAGCCAACTATATGACTGACTTCATGAGAGAAATCAACAAAATCAATATCAATAAAGTTGTGGCATACCGCACTACATTATCACTAGACAAAACACTGATAGCACTTAAATCAACTGTGTCAAAAGGCTTTGAACAATTACTTTGGTCTTTAGAACGGAAAGGAATTTCCGTAGATGAAGACTGGATTTATTTTTTTATGGACCATGGAATAATAACATTTCGAACAGATATAAAAAGCAAAAATGAAGTGAGGATGTTGTATACCACAGACAACAATGGAAACGTGCAACGTCACCGTTATGTAAAAATAGGCAATCAGCAGCAGTTGGAGGCAACCATAAATATGGACAGTGACTGGGAAAATTTCAGGAGTGACATGCTGGACGCAATACTTGACATATGTGATGATAAAATAATCACTAACATAAATAGACAAAGAAAAAAAAGAAGCCCATCAGCATGCAGTGTGAGAGAGAATGAGATTGAAGAGGACTACGTGATTAAAGAAGATACTCTAACCATCGAGGACGGTCATGTTAAAGTGCAACTCGTCAACAGATACAATCCAGAAGACACTCATTTAGTGTCTTATCCTCTTGAAGATTCATTTTACATGAAACAGGTCAAAGAGACAGCAAAGCACACCATGTCATTAGTGAAAACAGGTGGATTCCAATTCCTGGAACATGTAAATAATGCCATGGTTAAATATGGCATTGTGGCTGGATTTATTGGGGCAGGGAAGTTTTTTGCAGAGAATGACACTGCTCGAGGGGCTATTACTTTAACCCAGTCACTGCATGGACTTGGAGAGATGACCAATCTGAATCAACAACTCTCTAGGATTTCCCGGGATGTATTCCAGAAAAGCCTGCATGCAGCAGCGAGTGAACTGGGTATGGAAGAGACGCTCACAAAGATCAGCAGTTCAGTGGAGAGGTTCGGTGAGAGTTCTGCAGGACAGTTTCTGAAGGGTATTCCCATCGCTGGCATGGCCTTTCAGGCCTATTTTATTGCAGAGGATTCCATAGCCATTCATAAACACAACAGATCTGATCCAGAGCAGAATAAGTACTTTGGCCTAGAGGTTACAAACCTAGTTCTGGATGTGTCAACAACTGTGCTCTCGATTGCAGAGCTTGCTTTCCCTGAAGCAGCACTTGTGCTGGAGCCCATAATCATTGGACTGACCATAGTCAGAATGTCCATCAGTGACTTCTACTGTGATGTTGTGAGCGAGTTGGACAAGCTGCCCCAGGGGGCCGGTGATTTTGATAAGATGATCGCCGTCATAACTGGACTAGAGGAAGGTGCTGTGGACTTTGTTACAGGGGGGCTGCTGAGGGCAAGTAATGAGCTTGATAAAGAAGTAAAGCAAAACCAAGAACTACTGCACAACCTTTCAAAACCTGAATCTTATTACAAAATAACTGCTAATGATGGAAACATAAGCACTCTGGATCTAATGGAAGGCATTCTCTCCCAGTATGGAGGATTTGTGACTGTCCAGCTCCTAAACAACGGAAGTGTGGCAATTCAGATAGGGGGGGTTGATGATGGGAAAGGTGGCTTTAAAACCATAGAGAAAACATTCCACAACCCCAGTATTCAGAACATTGTATTGGGAGTTGGGGAATCAACTAAATTCCTCTACACTCAAAAGGCAGCCCATCTGTGGTGGGTCATCCCTGTGAAACATGCAAAAGTAATCAGTGGAGAAATCAAGCTCCACTCTTCCTTGTTTGGCACCTACTACGGCAATGACAAGGACAATAAGTTTTTTGCCATCCAGCAACCTCCAAAACAGCCTGACATGGAGTTTGTGATTAAGAATTATCACTACACCATTTATGGCCATGGAGGAGATGATAGTTTCTTCCTTGGGCCACAGATGTCTGAACTCTCTGGGGGAGAAGGAAGGGACTTTTATGTTTTTCCTACAAGTGGAACCCATGCAGAGATTGATAATTTTTCACAAGACATGCTGGAGGACCGTCTATTGATAAAAGCCCCTTTCAGTCACATTGATTGTTGTCGGAGGCACACAGACCTAATTCTTGTTTATGGAGAGAGGCACACAATTACCATCAAGAACTGGTTTGTTCATAGCAATGCTGATCATTACCAACACATGACTTTTCAGTCAGCAGATGGCGTCACGTTTAAGGTTATGGACAGAGGCCTTGCAAAAGGCAAATTCCATGCTATGTGTGTGCCAGAAATACTAGACAAAACAAACTCAAACAGCCCAGTCTCTCTTAGCTTAGTGGGTGAATTTAAAAGTGTGATCACTGTAATAGGAAGTAATTTTTCTGACAGCATTGTGGGAAATGAGAAAGACAATGTTCTTAATGGGGGTCATGGATCAGACACACTTGAAGGTGGAGAGGGAGCGGATACATATGAAATCTTCCAGGGACAAGGTTGTGACAAAATCAACAACTATGCCAAAGATGAGAAAATGGACATGATAGTGTTTCAGGTGCCTTTCAGTAGGATTCAGGCAGATCTGCAGGGTGAAGACCTCCTGGTGGTTGATAAGGAGGACATCAGTTCAACATGTATGCTTTTAACAAACTGGGCCACAAGCAGACTTTTTCAGCATGTGACCTTTCTCTCTTCTGATCATGTGATCTTTCATATCTCCAGCAATGAAAGTGAGCTCACAATGACAGCACTTATGGTTGATCTAAGCAAAGAAACCCACGGCAGCACCATTAATCTATCAGACCCTGATCAACACATGTTTTATGTCATGACAGTCTTTGACTCTGCCTATGATGATGTCTTAATTGGCAATGCTCTTGGAAACTTTCTTAGCTGCAGCGGAGGTACGGACCGCTTACAGGGAGCAGGTGGCAGTGATAAGTACGTAATTAAATCTGGATGTAAAAGAGCATATATAATTAACTTTGCCGAAGATCAAATCAGCGACATCTTATTTTTTGAGCATCCATTTTTGAAACTCAGTGCAATGTATCTGTGGCCTCACCTTATTTTAAAAGTTGAGGACTTGGATATTGAGGTACACCTACAGAACTGGCTCAACGGTAAAGAGTTCCAACACCTGTTACTGCAAACCATTGATGGTGTCATTTCCATGTTACCATCAAGTATTTCTGAGCCTGAGGTAATTACTCCTTTTGAGATAAACCTTAGTCAGGAAAACTGTATCAACAGTACAGAAACATTTGATTTGAGCAAAGATCCTTTTAGGAAAGTGGAACGCTTCAAAGCTAAATCCAGCATTTGTTCATACCATGTGATTGGAAACTCCCAGAATAACTACATTGACCCAGGCATTGACAATGGCATGAATTATCAGTATTTGATGGGGGGTAATGGGTCAGACACGTATGTCTTGGGACACGGATATGGCTATGAGAATGAAATTGATAATGAAGCCAGAGACATGAAAACTGATCATCTCTTTTTTGAGGTACTCTACAAAGATATCATAGTCTTTTTGGAGCCACCCCACATTACATTGTCCTCCACATCCAGAAATGATTCTGTTCGTGTCCGATTACTCAGGTATCTGCAGGGCCCTGAACACCAACATCTTGTGATAAAATCCTTAGATGGATTCTCTTTCCAGGTAAACCCTCTCTCTTACCCATACAAGTCAGTCCTTTCCATTGACACTTCAACTTCCACTAAGAGCTGTAACATCAGTTGTGCTGAGGGTGATGAGTTCCTCAATGTTTCTCATATCTATGGAGCCACTCACTTCAGCAACTATATAACTGGGAGTAAGAGCAGCTCTGTCATTAAAGGGGGCAACAAGAATGACCATCTTGAGGGTAATGAAGGCAATGAGAGAATTGAAGGAGATGCAGGGGATGACATCATAACTGGGAACAGTGGGGATGATGTCCTGTTGGGTGGAGAGGGGGATGATGACATCAGTGGGGGAGCAGGAAATGATTTGATTTATGGTGGTTGGGGAGCAGACAAGGTAGATGGGGGCCCAGGGTTTGACACTGTATTCTTCAGCGGAGATGTGAGGACATCCACAGGGGTCAGAGTAGATCTGAACTCTGGTAGAGGCAATTGGGCAGACGCTGAGAATGATACCTACACGGGTGTGGAGGCAGTGAGAGGAACAAATTTTAATGATCTGATCATTGGAGATGATGAGGACAATGAGCTAGATGGGAAGTTTGGAAATGACACCCTCATACCAGGACATGGCTCGGATCAACTGACTGGTGGACTTGGGAATGACCTGTACATCCTGGATGACTGCAGTGGTGTAAAGCACATTAATAACTTTGCTTCTGACAAGGCTCAAGACTATATTCTCCTTCGAGACTTTAGCTACAGTGATGCCTGCTTCTTCTTGCTGGAGGGAAACCTGGTCATCTCCTTCTCTCACCAAAATCCTCTTCTGAGTCTTATCCAACAAAATGACCTCACAGTTATTCTGGAAAACTGGAAAAACAATGACTCTTCCTATCAGCATGTGGACTTTGTCTTTGCTAATGATACCCTGGTTGATGGTTCCTTCTTCAGCTCAGCAGCAGAGATTGGCCCTACTCTATCTGAATTAAACTCTACCAGCCCCGCCCTCTATGCAAGAGCAGCTAGTGAAACAGCAGTAGAGATTGAGGTTAAAACATTGACTGGGACAAAATTCAGAGGAGACACCGGACTCAAGTACCATTTAAAAGTATCTGATGAGCTGTTCTTTAGTGACAGTCTCCACTGGGAAAATCAGACTTCTATCAGATATTCTGGTCTTCTCTCAGGGGTTCTTTACACCTTTGAGATGTATGTGACCCTGTGTGAGTTTCCTCTGATTGTGCTAGCAGAAACAACGGAAAGAACAAAACCAAACCCCCCAACATCTGTACATGTGGTCCATATCTCCCATAGCAATGCATTTATTAACTGGATTGCACCATCTTCAGACTCTGACCCAAACAGCAGCAAGTACACTTACGTGGTAGAAGTGAAAGATTCAGGAGATGGTACTGTAGCACAGATTACAGCTAATCTCACCAGTGCAGAGATAACGGGTCTGAAACCTGGAACAGTATACAGGGTGTCTCTGTCATCAACTTTAGAAGGAGTGAACAGTCAGGAGGAAACTATTGAGATGAAGACCCCAAATTTGTGTCCCACATTCACTGCACCTATGGGGACGAGAGTTATTGATGAGAAGATGTCAAGCTATGGTCCAGTTGTGGTGATTGAATGTGAAGAGGGTTTCCAGCTGACCTCTGGCCCTGAGATTCCCTGCTTAGAAGAAGCATACTCCACACCATGTGTCCCTAAGTCATGTACTCATGAGGGTAGCATTATCTCTCATGGCTCCTTTGTTGAAAGAGAATGTTTAACGTTTGAAATAGAAAGTGAGTGTCTGTTTGGACACTTTAGTCCTCCCATTCCAGTTTGCTGTCCAAAACCCAGTGATGATGACATAATAGAATTATATGAATATGAACATCATCCTGTTTACAGCATTGCTGTAACCGTTTTCTGTTCACGAGGATTCTGGTTATCAGGACCCTCTCAGCTTAATTGTGACCTGAGAACAGGACAGTGGTCTCAGCCTCTCTTGCCATCCTGTTCTCCAATCCCTTGTCCTGCCCCCCCACATGATCCCCATGGCAGATTCACATCACAGTCAGGACAGTCAGATCATTTTAAAGAAGGGGATATGTTGATGCTGGAATGTGATGATGATTATCATCCCTCTGCTGAACACTGGATCACTTGCAGCAATGGTGAGTGGGAACACTCTTCCTGTGAACCAAATGCCCGACTCATCGACACCCACAGCCAAAATTTTAAATTCTATGGAAAACTCCAGCAATGGAAATCAGGCATGTGGACTAGTCGGGTCACTTCAGCACATGCTGAAAATCTTGCAAAGTTTTGCTGTGAAAATAGAGGGCTACAGTTCGTGAGAATTAGATATCAATTTCATTGGTACATACTGGTGGAGTGCTCTATGATAAAACTGGATACTTCTGGAAGAGAATATGTGGGAAAAGCTGAAATAAACCAAGGGAGTGGCTGGGAGAACATATGCATTAAAGACATCTCTGCAGCAGAGTCTTTCTGTAGAATGTTATTTCCAGGCCAGGGTGAGTAAGTTTGCTGTGATTAATTTCTGCGAAACATTTCTAAATCATGATTTTCACATTACTATGAGTTAATGTTTGGCAAAGGCTTTCTGACAGTTCTATTCCCACATATTCTGTTTTTTTTTTCCATAGACTGGACTGTTTCTCTGCCATACAGCACTTGGTTTCATTCTGTGCACTCCTACCAATGTGATGATGGCTGTAGATTGCAGATGAAACCACAGACCTGCAACAGACAGATCCAGTGCAGAGCGATGTGTGATCCCCTTCCGATTTCTAATGGGGGCAGATGTGACTTCTCTTTGGAAGGACAGTGGTGTTCAGTGTCCTGTAATCGACTATACAACCTCCAAGGATCTTCCAAGATACAGTGCAGGAGTTATGGCTGGTCAGAAGAGCCCTACTGTATAGGTAAGATGTAGTTCTATATTTTTCACAGCAATATAACTATTTTTAACAGTTTTTCATTATTGCTTACCCACATTTCAGGAAAGTGTCTCTGCTCTCTAATGTCCAAACATGACCAAATCTATACCTATATTAATCCAAAATGAAACTGAACATCTCACTCATGATACATTCAGAGAAGTTGGCGATGTGCAGAAAGAATCACACCTATAATACAGTTCTGAGAGCCTTGCACAACTTTGTGTTCATAATGTTTGTATTTTCTAAACTTAAAAAAGATACATATTGATAAAGTAATCATTATTATCTCAACACCCAATAGTGTATTTATTATAACTGTAGTTTGCAAAACAAATTTTAAGGTAAACATTGATAAAAAAATGTTTGCTGGACGTCCATTGTCACCGAGTGTGTTAGAAATGGCATATTAAGCAGAACGTACTAAATTTGATCCAGTGCGTAATACTCGACTCTTAAAGAAGTACATACTCTCAGTATGTAAGTGTGCAGTATCCACACATCCTCGGACACACTACATTCGCCATACCAATGACCTCATGTTCTTTCACCTATGACATCTCATCATCAGTGCCAAAGTTTAAAGAGCTTTACTCACCAAAAAGATTTTACTTCTCAACATTGGTGTATTTATTAGGTAATTAACCATGTTTTGGCAGTCATGCTATGTATTAACAAGAATAAACAAAAAGCAGCATAAACAACAACAACAAAATAAATTTCCTTAGAGAGGCTAGATAAGAATGTACGGCTGCAGCTGTGTCTGCACAACAGCACAGTGTTGGTTGAGTTCTGGGCAGATATTAGGCATGTGGGCTAGAATTGGGCTAGATGCCAGACTGCTGTGTATGGTCTTGACTCATATTTACATTTAAGGGCCAGTTCTGGCATGAATGTTGTGGCCCAACATTGTGATTGAAGGAAGAGGGCCATGCCTCAATTATGCTGCAGCAGATCTGTGCTCAGTTGATTTATGCCTTAAAAGATTTTCCCACCCAACTTTAACCAGCAGCTAGGCTTAATACAAGTTACATGGGAGAGAGCATTAATAAGGTAAGTAATATACTTGAAAAAGCATATTTATATATTTATGTTATTTGTGATGTGTAATTTTAGCTCAATAAGATTGACTAAGATGAGATAAGATTTATTAGTCCTTCAATGGGTAAATTCTTAGTGTTACAGCAGCAAAGAGAGATCAAGGCACCCAAAAAAGAAGTAACAAGAAGAGAATTAACAAGCAAGTAATTAACCTTGATAATTCCTTAACAGGGTTTACAATTTGTTACTTGTTACTAAATAGACAATATATATATATAATACTAAAGGTAAAAAGGTAAAAAATAGGATACAATATAAACTCTATCCTTCACAAAAATTAACAATGTAAAGGATTAAAAATAAATAAAAGCTAAAATATTTACACTGTAGGATATTTTACCCGAAATTCACATGGAGTATTGAATGAGGTACTGATTTATATTACCCATGGGATTGTGAGGAGTAACAATATAAACAATTATAAATAGAAGAGCAAAAAATCTTTACACTATAGAAATATTTAAAAAATATTCCACATGGAGTATTGATTATATTACATACAGGAAATGGTAATGAATTCCTCAGTTGGTGTGCTGTAGGTGTGTGAGATCTAATGGGGGTGGAGGAGGAGGTTTCTATTTAAAATGTAAATTTAAAATCATACGGTTCCAGAAAATTAAGGTTCAAACTGTAAATAATTAGCTTGTGGTTAGTGTGGAGCTAGTGTGTTAGCTCACAGTTGGCATGTTTGCAAATCAGTAATAAAAATGATTTTTGGCATTATTTAGAAAATTTTAATTACCCAGCCATTAAAGCACAAAACACCGGTGATACAGAATTATTAATAAATTAATGAAATATAGTGAGTAAGTGTGACTCAGCTTCTCAGGCCTTGAGACACTTCCTCTCTGATGAGCCTCGACCCAAAGAGCCAGTTTAACAGAGCCGAAAATACTGTGATAAAATGTAAAATATATGATAACACCAGTGACCAAAATCTCTGTTAGGAATGAAGTTTTAAAATAAAATATGTATTTTTAAAATGTAGTATAATGTTGATGGTATAAAAAGTAAACATGAATCTGTTTTATACACATTCCTAAATTAAACCTCTTAAAAATGTTGTTTTATACTGAAAATGGTTTCTCAAATGTTGGAAATTGTTTTTGTGCTGAGCTGTTTTACAGATGCAGGGTGACTATGAAACAAGATAAAAAAATGAAAAATCTGTTAGTTCTACTCGCTTTACAGCGTTTGGGCCAGAGCTGGGCCGCATCTGTTAGTTCTACTCGCTTTACAGCGTTTGGGCCAGAGCTGGGCCGCATCTGTTAGTTCTACTCGCTTTACAGCGTTTGGGTCAGAGCTGGGCCGCATCTGTTAGTTCTACTCGCTTTACAGCGTTTGGGCCAAAGCTGGGCCGCATCTGTTAGTTCTACTCGCTTTACAGCGTTTGGGCCAGAGCTGGGCCGCATCTGTTAGTTCTACTCGCTTTACAGCGTTTGGGCCAAAGCTGGGCCGCATCTGTTAGTTCACACATCGGAGGCACTTTTTATACAGTGCAGACAAGCATTGTGGGTGTTTACATTCACCCCAGTGTTTACACACATGATGTGCAGCAGCTACTGGCTGAACAGGTATCAGACATTGAAAACGAAAACTCAAATTCTGCACTTCTGATCATGGAAGATTTCCATCCTCCACATCTCAAGCATGATATGCCCAAATACAAACAGATGGTCAGCTGCCCAACATGGTAGGGGAACATTTTAAATCATTATTATTCCACCTTTAAAGGGGCCTCTGATGGTGGACCCCTGATGCAGTGGAGAGGCTCCAGGACTGTATGAGCACCACTGACTGAAAATCCTTACAAGCGTCCTGTGACTCTATACACTCATATGCTGACACTGTCTGCTCTTACGTCTCCTTCTGTGAACAAATCTGCCTTCCTATTAAAACTGCTCGAGCCACTGGCCTTGGCTAACACTGCTCGAGCCACTGGCCTTGGCTAACACTGCTCGAGCCACTGGCCTTGGCTAACACCACTTGTGTTGTGCATTAGAAAAATTGCACAGGAGTCAGAACTGTCGCCTTGTTCATTTATTGCTGTGGGTTGTAAAAGATAAAACAGTTTGTTGTCACTGAGAAGGCACAATGTTGAAATTTCTTTCCTTTCAGCTTTCACTGCAGACTGCATAAATACATGCTTACAGATATATACTAAGTCTTTTCCAGGAGAAATTTACATAAATAACATAATAAAGGAAAATATATATAATATTTAAAGTGATAGTTATCAAGGTGTTAAAGTTTCAATGGGAATAAAATAAAAGACAGACATGTCTTATATGATAGAATATTATCACACAGTGGATAATGGTAGTGTTCAAAAGATTTGTGCATTAATATTTAGTGCTTAATGCTCATTTTTCTTGCTCAGGTTTGTTCTACACACCTCTCCTTTCAGCTTTCAGTGCAGACTGAAGGAGAGAACCCGCAAATGAGTGTTTTAGATCTAAACAGAGTCGTTCAGAGTGGTTTGGTGTGAAACGCTCTGTTCTAAATAAACTTACTGAGTCAGAACTGTTCACAGTGGCGGTGATAGGAACCAGACGTCCACCTCTAATTCACTGTCTGATGACTGAGACACTGTTTCATGATAGTTTGGAGAACTTAAACTCCATTCATGGTGGAGGGATGACTTTGTCTACATTGCAACGATGGAATTATGGAGATTTTTTGAAAAATTGATGGAATTATTTTACTTTAACAACAGCAAGCCCTGATTTACCAAAGAGCTTCAGCAGTTAAGGAAGATCAAAGAGCAGGCTCACAGAGGAGGGAATAGAGAGCAGTATCGGATTGCTAAACAGAATCTACGTAAAGCATTCAGGTCAGCAGAAGCTGAGTACAAATACAGACTAAACTTTTGAAAACCACAACTCCTCTGCAGTATTAAATTCAGATTATATCCATGTGGAACAGACCTGCTGATAAGCAATCTTGACTGAAGTAATGGCAGATAGCTAAGCAGTGATTGGAGGGCTTTTGATAGATAGATTGGTTTGTCAAAGAAAGGGGTGCAGATGAACATGCAGAAGTCATTAATGATTAATTCGTTGACTTTTTATGGACATCAATTAAGAACATTTCTTGCGTTAAATTTGCACAAAAAAAAAAGAAAAAGGCCACTACAGGCATCAATGGACAAAGTGGCAGGTAGTCAAGCTCCCACAGCCCTCCCCCTGCACATGTTGCTCCTCCTGCTTTTTGTGTCTTCCTCTTGTTTGTCCACATTAAAGACATTCAGGAGTAGGCACACATTCTTAATGCTGCAGTTAGGAAACTTAATCTCCTAACTTCTATGTGATTTTCTACAGGTTTAATTGGTAACACTTCCACAGTTTAATCCACATTCCTACACCTTTATCTAGTGTGTTCTATACAGTGTCACTGTGTAACTCCTCAGTCAAATACTGTCACAATTATGCTGCCCAACACTAACCTCTATTGCTGTATTTGTATACATGTATTTGAATATGTATTTAAAAATGGATTTCAAATGCTTTTATTTACTTTTTTAGAGTTTACATGAATAAAATGTCACAAAATATCACCTTTAGAAATTAACGGTCTCATACTGGATAAAATTCAGAATAGCACTCAAAAGAAAAGTAAATTTGAAATTGTTCTTACTGCAGTGTTTAAGCACTGTGTAGTGACAGTGAAGTGCAGTAAATAGTGTTAAGACTTGTTAAGACTGTGTTAAACGTTATTCCTGGCTGAAAGCTTCAGCTATTGAGAATCGTATGTGAGTGTCCAATAGAGCAAGAGGCAAAGCCTAAGAGATTTGCGAACTAACAATGAAAACAATAAAATGATGCCTTAAAACAAAACATGTGTGGTTTTGAAATACTCTTCTAACTGCAGGATTTTAATTTACCTACAAACCCAATCCCAGAAAAGTTGGGACAGTATGTAAAATACAAATAAAAACAGGAAGCAATTATTTATGTTTTGCATGTATTTCATTGAAAACAGCAAAAGGAAGAGATATTATTATTTTACCTTATAGAATTTTTGTAAATATACACAAATTCCAAATGTGATGCCTACAGCACATTCCAAAAGTTGTAAGACTGGGAAGTTTGTGGAATGATCAAAAACACCCAATTTTGTAACTTCCCTCAGGGAAACAGGTGAACAGGTAACAGGTGATGCTATCATGATTAGGTATAAAAGACGTATTCACGAAAGGCTCAGTCACCACTTTGCTGAAAACGGGTGAGCAAATAGTCTAACAGTTTCAGAACAACATTTCTCAATGCAAAACTGCAAAGAAATCTCAGTATATACAGCCCATAACATTATTAAAGATTCTGAGAGTCTGGAGAAATCTCCGTGTGTAAAGGGCAAGGCTGAAAACCAATACTGAATGCCCTCAGACTCTTCAGATGGCACTGCATTAAAACAGACATGTTTCTGTGAGGAGTATAACCACATGAGCTCAGGAATACTTTGGAAAAGCTTTGTTAGTGAGTTAGTTTGTTGCTGCATCCACAAATGCAAATTAAGACTCTACTATGCCAAGTGGAAGCCCAATATCAACAACATCCAGAAACGCTACTGACTGACAGCCTGCAGTCCAGACCTGTCCCCCACTGAAAACGTGTGGTGAATTATTAAGTGCAATATATGACAATAGACTGTTGAGCAGCTGAAGTGTTAAATTAAGCAAATCCACTTTCACAACTACAACAATAAATGTCCTCATTTCCCAAACAATGACTCAATGTTCTTAAAAGGAAAGGTGATGTAAACACACCCCTGTCCTTTTTTGGAACATGTTGCAGGCATCAAATTTTGAATAAGTGTAAATATACAAAAACATTAAAGTTAATTAGTTGAAACAGGACATGTCTTTCTACTATTTTTGAATTGAATGCAGGTCAAAAAGGATTTGCAGATCACAGCTGTCTGGTTTTATTTACATTTTTAATACTGTAGCACTTTTTTTTAGATCTTTTTCACAGATTACTTATGTTTCTTTTTTAACTCTGTTTACAGAGAGTGGGGAGTGTGGCTACGACTATGAAAGAGGACCTCATTCAGTCGGCTGCTTGACCAAGCTATGGACTGAGGTGGGCTGCAATGTTGAAGCTGATCTATCTCCAACTAAAAGACGAGATTTCTGGACTGACTTTGATAGATGGACAGTAGGTGAGGTGAGGGAGTTTATGTCGACCCTTCCTATCAACAGTGAGTTTACTTATAACCCTAACTGTCAAGTGGATGATGAATGTTTTCCTGGACGGGCTACAGTGTTCACGAGTGAAGGGAACAGGAAGTCCATGTCAGAGCTGAGGGTAGGGGACAGGGTCCTTGCACTGGACACTCATGGAGAGCTTGTATTCAGCGAGGTAATCCTATGGCTGGACCGTCGGCCATCTGCAGTGGAGCGCTATGTCCTCCTTACCACAGAGGACTACTCAGAGCCGCTCTCACTATCAGCTGACCATGTAACCTTCATCGCCCCGTCCAACAGAACCACTGCCACATTCTCTACCATGATCCCAGTGTTTGCCAAAGACCTGCAGCCAGGTCACCTGATCCACCGCTATGACCCAGCGACTGGTTCATTGGCGCCCCGGCGCGTAACCAATGTCCAGGAGTCCAAGGACCTGGGTGCCTATGCCCCCTTGACTGTGGAGGGGAACCTGATTGTAGATGGTCACCTGGTGTCCTGCTATGCCCTGCAATGCCGCCAATACCTTGCCCATCTCCCTTTCGCCCCCTACAGGTTTCTGCACACTCTGCGTTCTTACATTCCCCTGTTTGAAAACGTATTCCCAGTACAGCAAGACCAGCAGGATGAGGGCATGCACTGGTATGCCAGAGCCTGGTACCAGGTGGGACAGTGGTTCAGCTACCCGTTTGGGAAAACCTGCTATCCCAGAGAGCTGCATCTGTACCACTACCCCTGATCATCTGCCAACACCTAGAAGAAGAATGAGCCAAACCTCATAACGACTGAGCATAATGCTGTTGTCAGAAGAAAACCTCGTATCTCCATAATGGTAACTTTACAGGAGAAGGAAAAAAAAACGTACTTTACGTTTAATTTAAGTCAATGGAACCAGACCTTTTAAGTCATTTTGGTCTTTTGGTCGAATCATCATGAAATATAAAAACAATGTAAAGCGCAACAGACATTTTCAAATTATGTCAAAAACTAAAAAAACGACAAAAATGGAGATACAAGGTTTTCTTCTGACAACAGCGATAAATAAGTGAAACTTTACTGAGTGATTCTGTTGTGTATGTGAACATGGCTACACAAGAAATGAAAATATATCAGCAATTATTCACAAATACCTTATAATAGTAGTTATATATACTTAATATCCTAGTTTAAAGTGTTTTTGTTTATATCCAACTATTGTCATATATTCCTACAGTGCTTTTGGTATTACTTTGCAGACTCTGCACACAGTCCTAAGAACTGTTTCAGGTCCCCTGAATCTTTTGTTGATGAATTGTTATCTTCATATTGCAAAATCTGTTAACTGATCAACAGATTGTCGAGTAAATAACTCAGTCACTGCTTGAGATGTGAAGTGGTAGATTAGCCCACAATTCATTTGCTTTGGAGCAGTTGTTCACTTATTTTACTACTCATATTTTGTCTGATCTGGCTCTGTGTATTCCCAGTGAACATTGTTCTACAGTGCAAATGTGTGTGTTGAAAAAAAATGTGTTTATTTACACTTGTTAACTTGTTAACAACCCATATTGAAAAAAAGCAAGTTCATATAAAATCTGTAACTATTAAATGCAACAACAAATTCACCATTGTGTACAAATATCATTGTAATGTTTGTGTGTATCTTAATTTGTTACTGGATCTAAATATCAATAAACAAAAAAAGAATTGCTTTGAGAATGTAACCATAATCCCATGTGTTAAATGATGATCTCCAGACATTCATAAACTGCATTAGCTTCTTCACTTCAGTTCACACAGTATATTATTATTTAGATGTTTTATGTTCATGAAGCAGTTTGTTATGTTTATTAGTCACTTTTCTACTTTGAAATATACACAGGTAAGAAAATCATAAAGAATACCTTAGTTGTTAATTACCTCCATCTCACACTGAAACTATGAGTCTCACACTTTATTATTGCCTGCTATGACTGAAGAATACAGAGTATGTAGTATGAGAACCTGCCTAAATAAACTGTCTCTCCAGATCTTCTAGGGTGCTGTTCCTCTGTTAGACTCTCCTCTTCAGTGCGACCCACAGGCTTTTAAAGGGCTTCACAATGCAGGTCCTCAGGGCCTTTAAAACACACAGACCCTCCATCATGGTTTTGACTCATCTGACCATAGAACCCATTTCCAGTTCCAGTAGCTTAAGAACCCCTGACCTAGACTAAACACAACAAGCTTCTACCAAAATTACGGGTCAGTCTGCTGCCAGAACTCTGAAACCCCAGTGTATGAAAGTGGAAGTAAGGTTCCCACTGAAGCGAGGCGTACATGCATTTCTGATTTGGTCCATATGTTTTTTTTCATAAGATTGCAGTGAAAAACATGGAATCTCAAATTAACCAATACAGGGTAAAAAACACTGATAACTGGGGCTCCTGGGTGGCACAACCAGCTAAGCGTTGGCCCTATTATCAGGAGACTGTGAGCTTGATCCCTGGTGATGCCGTCGGTGGCTGGGAGACCAAGAGAGCACAGCTGATGTACATCACCTCAAAAGTGTGCAGGTGAGTGATTCACCGTGATAATGGACCTCTATGTAGCTAGTTGTTCAGCATTACTTTAATGTTTACTTGCTTTCATGTGTACACCCCCTTCATCAATACGCCTCCTAAACCACAATGAGAGACTAATTATAATGAAAGTCTAACTAACAGGCTAATCACCTGCTTACGCTGTCTTTTTCTAAACACAATTAAAACGATGCTACGCTAATAAAAAACTGTCTATTTTCTCTTATGAGATCACCTCGACAGCACAGTTACAGCATCTTCACTCAGAAACATTCCAATGGGTCCATGTTTAACGTGAGCTTTAAAGTACACAGATTATTATAGATAATAATCCAAACTCACCAAAGTCTGAGCACCACTGGTCAAATTCCATGTTGTTGTTGATTTTCTGAGTGTAATTAAGTTAGACACCCTTTACAGAGACACACTACTGTACACTTCAATATACAATTACTGTTTATTCACTGGATTTAATTTAATATTAGAGTTAACAATAAAATATAAGCGGTGGCCTGTGAAAAAGTTATGGCACATTTTATATTTTATGTTTCATTTTTTCCCCCAATATGTTAAAATGTTAATTTTTAAAGTAAAATGTTCAACATGTATACAAAGTTTTATTAGCCTGCTAGGCTAGTGTGGGTTTAAGATACTCTACACACCTCCAGAGTACATTTTTCATTATTATTAATATTATTATTATTATTATTATTATTATTATTATTGTGTTTCCTGAATTCTGAAGTCTTCCCTTCACACTGCAGTCAGCAGGTGTCAGTATTGCCTCCTAAGCTGGCCTGCCAACCACCACAAAAACAGAGCAAAAGACAAAGAGTGTTTGTTGAAGAAGAGCAGAAGTAACCGCTGAAGGTTTAACAGCCTGAGTTTACTTGATGAAGGAAAGGTAGAAGATGGAGGTTCACGGTGGAGTTCAGATCAACATGGCAGCTCAGACCGGAGGGAGTATCTGTGCTCCGGTTCTCAATGGAAGTTCTATTGGAGGTCCAGTCACACTGATCTACATCATACACGGAGGTGAGTGGCCTCTGGTGAGAAGCAGGTTATGAGGTAATAACTCTGTTTGTCCAGCTGAACATTTAACAGTTCAGCAGTTGATATTTTACTCTCACTAACTAAATTTACATTACAGGCTGGTATTACATGATGTTACCACAGGCCACTGGGAGACCAGGTTAGTGGGTAAAAGAGTCATTGCATGCAGTGACTCGTCGCCCTGGCCTCGCTGTTCCTCCTCAGGGGAATCCCAGGAGCCATCTTAAGTCAACACCATGTAAACAAGCCTTGAAAGTCTTTGATAAGAAGACAAACTGATGTCGTCATTGTAATGTTTCAGTTATGTGTGTTTTAAAAACTGGAAAAAGCTGGTTAAATTCTCAAATACACTGTTAGTTTTTATGTGAAGTCATAAAAAGGTCAACAAGAGCCAGAACATCACTACCACTTCACTTCATTAAAGGAAGGGTTTTAGGTTAATCTACGTTTTCTTTCACACATGACATGATTGGAATTTTACATTTTTGGTGACTGGATGCTCAAATCAAATCAGCCAATATAAAATAAGTACTTGTTTTGTATATTTGTAAACCTGTTGTTTACTTCTTTTGCATCTTGTGTGTGTCTGAAGCATTGTTAACCTTTAACCTGTCCAGGGACTGCAGATGAAAATGAGCCATGTAGTGAAATCTGGCACATTTACATCTTGTAATAATGATGATCGATGTGTTCTGTCTCTGTTACATAAACAAGTGAAGTAAAATAGGTAAACTACCCAAAAATCATTGTGTCACAATTCCCTTTTCAAACCTGAAGCTGTTTATAGGAAATATCAGTCAGATACTCAATATTCCAAAATCAATCAATTCAATATGTTCACACTGGGTTTAAGGAAGCAAACGAATCCATCAATATGGCCAAATACAGTATTGTTTCCTATAGACAGCGGCAGGACACAGTCAGGGCGAGCTGTCCAGTCAATGGTGGAGATACTATGCTGTTACATATCTTAGAATATGAGGGTATGAGGGACCGAGCCATCGCCTGAATTCATATTCACCATGTACTGATTAGCTATGGGTGGAATTGCCATCATCAGCATTATTTTTCTTCACATACTTAATGACTGGAGCTACACTTTTACCTGTTGCACTGTTAAACTTCTATATATACTAGTTATATTTTTTGCATGAGTGGCTATAATTTATTTATTTATGTATTTATTTGATGGTACAGCTCAATGCTAAAGTTTGGGAACCCCAGGCAAGTAAATAGAAGTAAACTATTTTGTATTTGTAATTAAAATGTTTAAAATGTTAATGTGCAGTTACTTTATATTTGAGTAAATTTAAAAAATAAAACATTATAATAGGACTTAGGACTTGTTAGTTGTCTAATAAATTCTCTGACTCTTCAAACCTTGTGCTCACATTCAATAACCATGAGCTCTTCTGAGCAGCTTCCTGAGGATCTGAACATGAAGGTAATTGATGCCTACAAAGCCGAAGACCATAAAAAGATATCAAAGCGCTTCCAGCTCACAATTTCCCGCTGTCCAGAATGTCACTGATAAATGGCAGTTAAGAATAACTGTGGAGGTCAAAGAAAGATCTGGAAGGCGTAGGAATCTTAGATAGAACTGCCCGTATGCTGGATGGAAATGCAAAGTAAAACCCCCAAATGACAGCAAAGGACCTGCAGAGAGGTTTAGCTGACACAGGAGTGGTGGTGCATCAATCTACTGTGCAGCGCTGATGACACAAACATGATCTGCGGGAAGAATCATCAGAAGGACTTTAGCAGCAACATCATCACATCTTTATTTTTCACTCATTTCGCTCTTGTTGTGCTGTTGATTGCTATCTGGTGTGATCCAGAGGAGGATGGGTTCCCCTTTTGGCTCTTGGTTCCTCTCAAGGTTTCTTCTTCTTCAACTCAGGGAGTTGTTCTTGCTACTGCCCCCTTTGGCAACACTCAAACATTGCACAAGTAAATAAAAAATTAGATTCCACTAAATACTTCCAAATTCTGGAAGTGTAACTGAGATAATCGGTCAAGAAACCTAAGCTGAAAAAGGCTTCACAACAGGACAATGATTCACAACATCCCTCAAAATCCACAATGAACTACTTAAAGAAAAGCAAGATGAAGCTTTTGGAATGGTCCTCAAAGTCACCTGACTTGATCAGAATTGGAAGTCTGTGGGTAGAGTTTAGACATGCTGTTCATGCAGGAGTACTGCAGAACTAGAAGCAAAAAAGAAGAATAGAAAGACTCCTAATAGCTCCTGCAAGCTGTGGTATCTAAGTACTGACCTAGTAAGGTGTCCAAACTTTTGCACAACCAATGAATTATTGCTTTCTATTTCTCACAATGTGAAAAGCATTAACATTACAGTTTTCTATCCTTTCGTCCTCAAAGTCTGTGTTCTTTCTTCCTCTTTCTTTGAATGGTAGCTTGGCATGTAAACACATACAAACTCTGGTTTATTCAGGTTATTGTCTCCTCTCCAGGTCAGGGAGGTTCCAGTTCCAGTTCCAGCTCACCTCAGACTGGTTCTCCTGCTGCTCCTGAACTCACTGATGGTAATAGCTGTACCAGCAATATCATCACTAGACCTCACATTATTTGGTAGTTCTCATTCTAAAGTTTTGTAAACGGTTTAAAAGACACATTTTTAAATTTAAATCTAAAATACAGCACCACGCTTTGGTGACTCAACACTCTACCAGGCGTTTTGATGCTGAGTAACGCGTCAACATATTTTGATCAGCCTTGATCACATTATTCCTTGACATTATTGTTCTTCGAATCTGTCATTTCGACTAAAGTTTCTAGATAATAATTAGCATTAAACGTGGTGTCACTGCATTCTGAACTAGTTTCATTATTATTATATACAAAAAATGAACACATTTCAGAGTCTGTGGCTGCCCCAGACTCTGTAAACAGGACAGATCACCAAAATGATGTGGACTACCAGCACCTCTTCTACACTTTGTCACCACTTTAAATCCAATAAAGATAAACTTGCATGTCTGAGTATCTACAGAGTAAAACCCAGTGTACCTTCATGTCTTTAAAACTTATTGTTTGGTCTGCATGGTTTGTTTATGGCAGAATAACACTAATAACACTACTAAACTAATAAAGACAATCTTAACTATTATAAGAGGGTTTCTTAATAAAAACCTTTGATTAAATAAAAGTACAGGAGAAAATTTCCCTTCCAAAAAGCCACCCATTCCCAGCTCACACTGCGTGGAAATATTCATGATGCTTAGGTCTATGTTCAATATTAATAACGCAGTTGGCCTGCTTCTCTTTCTAAAGACTGCTCTGCTGTTTCCTCTGCAGTCCAGGTCAACAGCATTAGCATTAGCAGCACCAAGGAGCAAACCATCATCAGCCTGTGTGACGGAGAGGTGACCGTGCTGATCAAACCGAAACCAAAGGGCCGAGTCACGCTGGAGGAGGAGACCCTCAGCATCTTCAGGGATTTTTACCAGGGATACAGGAGCCAAAACCAACACCCAGCCTTGGAGACGATGAGCAGGGTGGTGGATGGGATCCTCCACAAACACAGTGCTGCCTTCAGCAGTCAGTCTGTGTCAGTTTATTTATGTTAGAGCTGGACTAGTGTCCATAGAAGAAGTCAAAGGGATGGGTTTCTCTGTTGACCCCAACAGAGTATATTACTCCACATTACATCCCATTACAGTATTTCTGGTTCTGTGGCTGTCAGGGTCAATGCACACACTCAAACAATGTTAAGAACATATGACTGAATTCCTCAGCCTCAAGATGTTATGTCTTCCAGATAATATTAATTCTGTGGATTCGGAGTGGCATCAACCCAATAACATTATGAGGGGAAAAAAAGCCTCGAGTCAACAGTGTCATAAAAAACAAAGCCATTTATAAAAGTGTTTTTATTGTGTTTATTGTTTGATTTGATTGATATGGAAAAAGCTGCAAATTAATTTTATTTTGAGACAAGTGTCTTTGTCGAGAGGTGTGAATAGTTTTTCACAGCAGGGGGTTCTCACCCCTCCCCTTTAACCCCTCATTGCTCACTAGCAGCTCAACAACATTTCACATATGGAGAGAAGTTAATGTGATCAGAGTTACAGAAAACTAATATTTCATTTGATTTATTTAATATAAAATATCCAAGTCGATTTCAGCCACTAGGGGGCCTGCAGAAAGAGGTTAAAGTGTTGTTTAAAGTTACACTGAAACTTGTGTAGATAAAGGAATTATTTTTAAAATAAAGCTGTATGGATGTTCTTGGTTAGATGCTTGTTAAGTTTATTTACGGTAACTGGTTGGTTATTGGTATTGATGATAACTCTTACTTGCTGGGTGTTGATGTGTTTTCCCACTCAGGTATGGTCCAGAAGTTGTGTTTGGAGCAACAAGATGACAGCATGAAGTTTGTTCGCTGTGTGGCTGAAACCTTGTTCGATGATGGTGTCGTCCACTGGGCACGGATTGCCAGTCTGGTGGCGTTCGGTGCGGTGGTCTGTGAGCGGCTGAAGGAGGTGGGCAGAGAACAGTGTGTGGAGAACGTCATACAACACACCTCAACGTACCTCAGCACAGACCAGCGACAGTGGCTCATCAACAACAAAGCCTGGGTGAGTCCAGCAGGTTTAGGGGCTGTTGGTTGTGAAAATTATTTTTTCCAAACATGCTGCACCAGTCAAAAGTTTGGACACACCTACTCATATTTTTCCATGTTTTAGAATAATAGTTCTTCCTTCCTGCTACTTCTTTGTCTCAATCCACCAAGGAATAGTATAAACAAAAAAGAGTTTCATTATCATATGGAAGAGTCTCGCTGTTTTCAGTCCAGTAAAACTCCACCTCTGCTATAAAGAGTCTCGGGGCTCATGGTCCAGTAAAACTCCACCTCTGCTATAAAGAGTCTCGGGGCTCATGGCCCAGTAAAACTCCACCTCTGTTATAAAGAGTCTTGGGGCTCATGGCCCAGTGAAACTCCACCTCTGCTATAAACAGTCTCGGGGCTCATGGCCCAGTAAAACTCCACCTCTGCTATAAACAGTCTCGGGGCTCATGGCCCAGTAAAACTCCACCTCTGCTATAAAGAGTCTCGGGGCTCATGGCCCAGTAAAACTCCACCTCTGTTATAAAGAGTCTCGGGGCTCATGGCCCAGTGAAACTCCACCTCTGCTATAAACAGTCTTGGGGCTCTGTTATAAAAAGTCTTTTGGATAACAGTAAAACTCTACTACTATGGAGAAGAGTTTTGCAGCTCATGGCCCAGTCAAATTCTGCTACCACGGTGAAGAATCTCCTGGCTTGCGGCCCAGTCAAACTGTGCTTTTGTGGTGAGGAGTCTCCTGGATCATAACCCAGTTAAACCCATCTTCCACTGTGAAGATTAAATAGGAACAGAAAGGCTCCTAGCTGGCTGTAGAAATGTTTGGAAACTACGATACCTGCCAAATTTGTGTTACTAAGTACTGACTTCAGAGCGTGTCCAAACCTTTGCACATGTTATAATTACTAACTTTTAAGTTATTCAGAAATAAAGTAACTGTGCAACATGTGTTCTCAGCTCTCCATTAGTGATGAATGTATCGTGGTTGTGTTTCAGGGTGGCTTTGTGGAGTTCTTCCGCGAGGACGACCCTGAGAGCCGTGTGTGGAACACTTTGAAGAGCTTTGTCATCGCTGGGGGGGTGGGGGTGGGGATAGCACTACTGACGCGCTGAAGGGGTGTGGTCAAACGCAGTTAGCATGACTACATTCAGCACATGGTCTGATAAAGTCTTAGATAACTCCTTTGATATTACTGGTCATACCAGCAGAACCTGGTCAGACTGTAATTTCTCCATGTCTGCTAGGCTGAGTGAAACGTTTAGCCTGAATCTTTAGCATTAACGTTGGTTAGCTAGGCCAGTACTCTTAACTCATAGGTGTAGCACTGAATAAGGCGACGTGCTACTAGGCAACTACAATGGAGAGGTTTAGTTAAACCTTTTCTCCATATCAGGTAAAAGCATTAATATATTGTGTTTAACGATTGTGTCTGAAAATATCTGACAGTCATATTAGAGCAATACGAACATTCAAAATGTGATGATACATTAAACTAATAAATCTGTAGACAAAAAAAAATCATTTAAATTAATGATAAAAGCTCTTTGTCCACCAGATGAGGGCATTGTTAAGGTTAAATGCTATCAGGAATGTGATGATAATTCAAAAATTAAACATAATATCAGCACAAAGGGACGTTAATCATCACCGCTGTGGTTTAGTTAATAATAAAATACCTAAAGAACCTGTAGAAAATATAAAACAATAATTAAAGCATAACTAAAAAGTAAAAGTTACTAAAATCAAAAGAAGATAAATAGCACATAAGGAGGTCAATATCAAAAAAGAAACTAAAATTAATTCAAATGACTGAAATAATAATAATAATAATAATAATAATAATAGAATAAGAATATGGATAATAATAAACAAATAAACAATTGGGAAAATAAATAATAAATAAATAATGACCGTAATGGTAAAAAAATCTGGTAAAATGACTGAGTGACCCAGCGAGCTGAGCTGTAGTGGTTCCTGTAGTGAGGGTCCAGTTTGCTGGTGCTCTGAAACTGAAGACTGTTTTTCCCAGTTCAGTAAAAACCCTGGAGCGAGTCTGATAATCTCCATCATTTACAGACGTCGCTGAAGTAATATATGCTCTGTGTATATAATGTAATTTTATGTATATATACTGTATGATGTGTACATGATGAGTATGATTAGCACTTCTAGAACACTGAATAACTGCATGGACAACAATAAAGACAGATTTAGGCCAATTACAGTGGGCCTGTAAACAACAATGACCGGTGTGAAGTAACCTGCAGCTGATTGGATGACATTATTATTATATACTTTAATTTCATTTATTTTTACAGAGTGTTTGATTTTTTTTTTTTACTCTTTCTTTCCAAATTGTTTATTTCTGTAAACTGTGTGTTTCTAAAAGTGCTTCTAACTGAACGGTTTCATTTGAAAACCCATTTTTATGATACACGTTGCTGGGAGCTTTAAACAAACAATACATATCAGTGTTATATTATGATTGACGCCATCTTTACATGTCTTTTCACTCTTCTTTTCAAAACTGTTAGAAACGGATATGAACCATTCTGGAATTAAGGTTCTCTGATTATGTCCTGAAATAAGACACACATTATCAGTAGTGCTGTATCCAGAATCAGCAGGAGAGCCAGAACTTCAGATTGAACAGAGTCCAGTGATTCTGTTTTACACAAACAATAATAATATGATCGTTATCTGATTTCGGCAGGTACTCTATTATTTAAGGGGTCACTTTAGCAGATAGAGGCCTGGAGTTTAGCTCAGTAATGAGGATATTCACCCCTTCTATTACCTTAGTCTGATTTATTTAGTGTTTCTGCATCTGCGGATGTGCTCAGTCAGAGCCGTGCAGAGAAGAGCTGCCTGAGGAGGAAATGAAAGGAAGTAAAAGGTGAGACATTTCAGCAAAATGAAGTTTCAGCACCTGAAAGAAGTCAAACTATTCAGAACTAATGATCAGCTAAAAGTAGTGAATAAAAAATTAATCTAAATGAAATAATCAACTAAGAGAAGCACAGAGAATTGTAAAATAAAAATAACCGACTTTAAAACAAAGACCATCAAATCTGAAAGATCAAAGACCATCAAATCTGAAAGATCGAAGACCATCAAATCAGAAAGATCAAAGACCATCAAATCTGAAAGATCGAAGACCATCAAATACTATAAAATATGATCTCTGCGTTCGTTATGTTTGTCTGGTTTTGAGGTTTTGTTTCTAATTAAACTACCCAATAAATGTTTTCCAGTGAGCGACTGTCTGACAGTTTCCTCTCACATGGCTGCTCCTCAGCGAGGTCACTGCTGAGCCGTTAGTCGAGTTTCGTACGCGGAGTATTTAGGAGGAAATCTGATTATTGATTTATGTTTACTTAGTGTTCCTTATTATCAGATCACTGGAGCTTTTATAGACGTGTTACTGTAAAAACATGTTATCAGATGTTTTTCTACTGTCTCAGTGATGAACTGGGTCAGAACCTCGGCCTCCAGTACCAGAGTCCTGAACCCAGGCGTCTGAGATCATCTCACTGCTGTCCACGTCTGTAATCAGGACGTTTGGTGATCCAGCTGAAGTCTGTGATTCTTTTTGTATCACCTCAGTTTAAACTGGTCAGTAATGTGAGAGAAGAGCACCAGCAGGTCACTCTGAACACTGAGCAGAGCAGAACGCTCTAGATACGTTCTGCTTATTTAGTCTGAGCAGTTTAACGTGGTTGTGATCATTTTATTGTTTGTGTTTTCTTTTGTTTTAGCACTGTTAGCAGTTTATTACTCTGGAGTGGTGCCAGAAAACTCTGTATTACAGCAAATATATGTGTGCCTGTAATATATAGATATGTGTATACTGTATATGTAAAGGGGTGTGTATGTTTTAAATGATGTACTTTTGGTGGTGAGTTCATTAAAAATTACTGCAGAGTACCTTCAGCGTTCTTCCTTTAATCTCTTCTTCACCAGATGATGTTCTTTAAAGAGACAGGAAGTCACCACCCAACACTTTTTGGTTTATGCTTAATGATTTTAAAGGTGTTGATTTATTAAATACAATTAAATCCATGAATTCAATGCTTATGCATCCATTACATTTCTTAATGAATATTTATAAAAACAAACTAAGCATTTCTGCTACCAGTGAAAACAGAAACGTCGTATCTAGAACCTACAATTCAAAACACAGTCAGTTCAATACAAATCTATGTTGCTGGAACCAGTTAAGATTTTCAACCTAAGCACATAAAACATTATTAATCCAAATAAATATGATCAGTGAAAAACACTGACACAGTTATTTTACACTACAAAGTGTGAATCATTAATACACAGTAAATATCAGCACAAAACGTGAATTATACTTATTTACAGCTGTAGAACATTTTCTGTGAGCCTGAGTGTATAAACGTTTACAGTAAATGTATATGGGGGGATATTAAATGTAGTTCTGACTATGCACTGTGGGGGTCTTACAGCATGTTAAACTAAATTCAGTATCTATTTAAAGAAGAAATAAAGCCCTTTAACTGGACGTGATCATCTCCACCCTGTACACCGTGAGATCCTCTGTAGGTGCGTCTCACCTCAGACGGACGTCTTCCTGTTGCTGTTTCTCTTCTCTTAATTATTCATTCCTCTAATCTGTAAGGTTTTTGGTCTGGCCACTAGAGGGCAGCAGTGCACTGCACACTAATGGAGTGTGTAGGAATCACAGCCTTTACACCAAATTTAGGGATTTAAAAATTGGACACTTAGTGTTTTTAAACACAGCTGTGAAGAAATAAATCAACGACGAAGTATTTTTGTTTAAATTCAGCTGCAGCTCCAGATTAACATACTAGGCCACGACTTGATAGGGTGCATGTTGGCATAGCGACATAACTTTCTGTAAGTAATGGACCAGGATGTTCATATTTCACATACTAACCTCCCAAACTTTATTAATATTAGGATAGATAAATTATTTTTATGAATTTTTAATGATTATTTAACATCCTAATTTGATTTTTAATTTAATGATTTGCTCTTTTAAATTTGTGTTACGTTTTAATTGTTTTAAATGCTGCTTTTAATTGTTTTTTAAACGACTCTGTGGTTTCTGACTCTGAACTGCCTCGTGTGTGAAGGTCTGAAAGACTGCAGTGTTTGAAAGGTGCTGTATTAATAAACTTGCCTATTAGAACACAGAATAAAGCTTATTATATCAGTGTTTAGTAAATAATCGCACTGTTATATCATTATATGTTAATCAGTTTATCTCTACCATTATGTTCTTTATTCCCACTGCTATTCATTTTATTCTCACTGTTTTTCCCATTTATCTTGCCATTATGTCATTTATTCCCACTGCTAATTTATTTATTCCCACCACTAACTCATTTATTCCCATCATTGGATCATTTATTCCTCCTGTTTTAGCATTGAATCCCAAAGTTTTCTAATTCATTCCCACTGCCGCATCTTCTACTCCCATTCTCCTTCCATCTATCCTCGCTGGTATGTAACTCGTTCCCACCGTCGTTCCATTTATTCCCACCACTAGATCCGTTATTCCTCTTCTTATAGCATTCAATCCCAGTCTTATATGATTCTTTCCCTCCACCGGATCATTAATAGATCCCTGTTATGTAATGTGTTCATCACGTGAAGCCGACTGGGTCCCAGTTTAAACTGGATTTTTATCTGCTGTGTCACTGACCACGACAGGAAGTGATGCATTATGTGGTCTTATGAGTGACACAGTGGACCCAGCCTGACCGTGTGAACTGTGAGTCAGAGGGCGTGCAAGATAGAGGACATAGTGAGTGAGAGACTGAGATAAAGGAGGCTGATAACGCACAGACAGGCGTGTACCTGAGTCAGGTGATTCAGTAATAAAACAGTCATATCAGTGTAGAAAACAGGCATTAAAACACTATAAAAACTCAATAACATTCAGTAAAATATTCCAGAGGAAGCTTTTACTCTGGAATGAGGTGGAAAGTTCGTCTGTTGATAAAGAAGAAACGTGAAAAACTGATGTAAACAGATTTTTGAGTAAGTGATGATGTAACGAGAACAAAAGTCTGTTTCCGCTCCATCTGACCGTAACAAACAGCAGAGTGTACTAATAATAAAGGTGCTAGAATTGGTTCTTTGTGTGGTGTCATAGAGGAACCATGTCTGGGTTCCTTAAGGAACATTTTGATGGACGTAATCTTTAGAGAACCATTTTTGCAAATGAGATGTGAGAGAATTCAAACCTATTTAAAGAACATCAACATGCCGTAAATGTCCTTGGAGGAACACACAAACTGGTGTATGACCTTTATGTATACATTTAAAGGTTCATTTAAATGTCACCTCATTCACAAACATGGTTCTTTAGGGAACTGAAATGGTTCCTCTGTGGCGCTGCTCACAATACCCTTTGAGGCACCTTTTAGTTTAGTACACCACCAACGTCACCATTCAAATCTACAGAACACTGCGCAGTGCAGTACTGTATGAGCTGAGATAGAACCTCAGCTCCACATCTGGTGTTCTTAGCGGATCAGTGGGGATCAGTCGGGCTCTGTGGGGTTCCATGGGGTTCACAGGGATTCGGTTGGGTTGGCTGGGGTTTGCAGGGGTTCAGTGGGATTCAGTGAGGATCCTTCGAGTTCAATACAGTTCACAGGGGTTTCAGAGCGTTCACAAGGGGTTCAGTGGGATCCACAAGGGTTCGTAGGGTTCTCAGGGGTTTGATTCGGTTCAGTGGGATCCACAGGGGTTCATAGGGTTCTCAGGGGTTTGTTTAGGTTCAGTAGGATCCACAGGGGTTTGTAGGGTTCTCAGGGGTTTGATTAGGTTCAGAGGGATCCACAGGGGTTTGTAGCGTTCTCAGGGGTTTGAATAGGTTCACTGGGATCCACAGGGGTTCGTAGGGTTCTCAGGGGTTTGTTTAGGTTCAGTAGGATCCACATGGGTTTGTAGGGTTCTCAGGGGTTTGATTAGGTTCAGTGGGATCCACAGGGGATCATAGGGTTCTCAGGGGTTTGATTAGGTTCAGTGGGATCCACAGGGGTTTGTAGGGTTCTCAGGGGTTTGATTAGGTTCAGTAGGATCCACAGGGGTTTGTAGGGTTCTCAGGGGTTTGATTAGGCTCAGTGGGATCCACAGGGGTTTGTAGGGTTCTCAGGGGTTTGATTAGGTTCAGTGGGATCCACAGGGGTTTGTAGGGTTCTCAGGGGTTTGATTAGGTTCAGTAGGATCCACAGGGGTTCGTAGGGTTCTCAGGGATTGTAGGCTGTGAAGTTTCTGAGATAATTTTGAACATGATACATGTTATTGTTGTGAACTACTCAAAAATAAAACATCTATTCCAGCTCATGGATTGTTCTGGGAACACACTAGCTAGTTATGTTTACTTTTTCAGTGCAAGTGCCTGTTAAATTTTTCGCTTTTTAATCGTGTGGAACTCATCTATCACAGATGAATGCCAAGCATAAATTAAGAGAACACTGCAGATCTTTACAAATGAAGATTTGAAGCCAAATAATTTACAGCATGTTTTTGGAAACGACGTGCACTGAATGTGTAACTAATCTACAGAATAAAGCCAGAACTCTGCAGTTTCCAGTCGGATGTAGCAATGTAGCTGCAAAACCACATCTAAGTGGTGATCCTCAAAGAGTTTGGATTAGTTAAATGTTCTTGTGGGTCGTGGAAGCTTTTGTGGTCATTTGTGTGCATTTTTTTCTTTTGAAAAGCCTTTATTTATCCAATTATCACCACTACAGTAATGCTCAGCTAACATTTCCTATTCAGGATCTGCATGTAACGTTCTACATGTTGTAAGCTGCAGTTTCAGTGAATTCTCTCATGAGTAATTAAAACCTAACTCTGACAGCTTTGAAGAGACTGTTAGTCTGTTAATCTACAGAGCTGGTCGATAGTTTTTACTCAAAACTATTCCTGACATTTTCAGTGCTATTTTCAGCTGAGCATGCAAATACTAACATAACGTTTGCATATCTAAATATTCCGATAGCTAAATTCTTTCCTTTGAAATGAAGTATCAGTCTAGATTTAGTTATATGAATCCTAAAATTATGCTTTTATTTGAATTCTTTCCTGTGAAATGTCTTGCCACAGTCTGTTGCAGAAAAACAGTATTTTAGTTAAATTGGTATTTTTCATCAATAGGTTTACATTCCATTCATAAACAGGTGTTCACTGTACAGTGCAGAGAGAAAGGAGCAGAATTAGGCTCATGTAGTGACATATATATATATATATA